CTCTAGTCTACTGGCTGGTGGCGTCTGTCCTTGCTGCTACGAGGCTGCAGGATCGAGGGGATCCCCGACTGTGCCGTAAAGCGGTGACCACGGAGGCAGGAGGAGACGCCAGGGGTCTGAGGGTCACTGTCATTCTGGGAAATGCAGACTTAGTCCGGCTGCGGAAGCGAGAGGCCCCCAGTCCATGCGACAGCTCTCTCAGGCAGACACCTTCAGTCTTGGGCTCCCCTCTCCTCCCGGCCTGTAACACCAGTGACACTGCCGGCTGAGGAGAGCCCTCGGTCAACGCCTGCTGAAGGAGGGGAACAAAATGGAGGTTGTTTGGGAGCTGACCAAGTTGCCCATTACCGTTAGCAGCTGCAGGACTTTGCTCTAGTGCACAGGTGCCTGGTGCCTGTGGGGGAGCGGCTGCAGGGGGGCCACCCAGAGGAACGGGGAGGGGACACACAGGAGCACCCCATTTAGCAACTCAAATTTTGGTGGCTGCAAGGGAGGTGGGGTGGGCCGTGCACCTCCCGAATGTGACCTTAAGTCACCTGTGCTCTTGTGTAGCACTTTGGATGCTGGGATGGTACCCCGCTGAGGAGAAATCTCCATGGCGTATTTCACTGCTGCCAGTGGCCGCCTCTGTGTGTGCCGGGGTGTGAAGTGGCCGCCTGACCAAAAGAGCAGGGCTGACATGCAGGAGTGAAGGAGTGTTGCAAAACAGACAATATGAAAGGGGAAGGCTGCTGTGCTGTTGACACAGGGTCCGATGGGTCACTGGGTTATTCTGTTTGCTTAAGGAAAAAAATGGCTTCCTTCTTAAATTGTATCTTTAGTCACAAGCAGGAGCCGGGCTAATGATGCCTACCAGGCGAGGCGAGGCGAGCAAACACCTGCCATTCAAGAGGTCAGACATCTGCAAGGAAGTTAACTGCCGATTGCGGACCGCCTCAGAGAATGCATGTCCTCTGGGGCACACCTTAGATTATCAAATGATTTATAAATCTATTTATCCTGCCATGGAGTGCAACTGTCAGACATAGATAAGCAATGATGGCAAGGTGAATTAAAATATCACCTATTCGGTCACCAGAATGAATCCTTCACAGAGAATTTGCAGAGCCTGATTTGAATTTTCCAATCATGGGATCCTCGCTGATGAATACAAATTCCATATTTTGGCATTGATTTAATTATTTCCCCCTAGGAGAACCGATCAGCTCTTGGGTATAATGGTTGCTAAGTGGTCTCGGTAAACAGTTACAATTCTGTTCCCTTTCTGGAAGCATCACTGTTTCTAGCTAAAATAAAGCGCTGACAAAGAGCGGTGCACACATGGACCCCCGCCCCTAGATGGGGGATGCGTTTCTGAATTGAGTGAACAACGTGCACGTTACAAATGCAACGAGGTACAAAAGACTCACAGAAATAAACACATACGAGTGATGTCTGATTTGTAATGAGGGGACTTGATTCACAGCTGAGGGACATTTAATTGGCTTCCATTGTATCAGAACACTTAGGCTGTGTCTACATTGGCACCCCTTTCCGGAAAAGGGATGATAATGTAGACTTTGGAATAGGCAAATCCACGGGGGATTTAAATATCCCCCATGGTATTTGCATTAACATGGCTGCCGCTTTTTTCCAGCTTGGAGATAAGCCGGAGAAAAGCGCCAGTCTAGACGTGATTCTCCGGAAAATAAACCCTTTTCCGGAGAATTTCTTATTCCTACTTGAAAGTCTAGACTGGCGCTTTTCTCCGGCTTATCTCCAAGCTGGAAAAAAGCGGCAGCCATGTTAATGCAAATACCATGGGGGATATTTAAATCCCCCGTGGATTTGCCTATTCCAAAGTCTACATTATCATCCCTTTTCCGGAAAGGGGTGCCAATGTAGACACAGCCTAAGTGTGTACACAATGCCAATAAGCAGAGCTGAACCCGGGACCTCTGGAGCTTAGTGCATGGCTACGTCTAGACTGGCATGATTTTCTGGAAATGCTTTTAACGGAAAAGTTTTTCGTTAAAAGCATTTTCGGAAAAGAGCGTCTAGATTGGCACGGACACTTTTTCGCAAAATCACTTTTTGCGGAAAAGCGTCCATGGCCAATCTAGACGCGCTTTTCCGCAAAAAAGCCCCGATTGCCATTTTTGCGATCAGGGCTTTTTTGCGCAAAACAAATCTGAGCTGTCTACACTGGCCCTTTTGCGCAAAAGGGACTTTTGCCCGAACGGGAGCAGCATAGTATTTCCGCAAGAAGCACTGATTTCTTACAGTAGGAAGTCAGTGCTTTTGTGGAAATTCAAGCAGCTAGTGTAGACAGCTGGCAAGTTTTTCCGGAAAAGCGTCTGATTTTCCAGAAAAACTGGCCAGTCTAGACACAGCCCGTGAGTCTCTGCAGCTGAAGCTAGAAGCCAGCAGGCTCTCAGCTAAGGCCACAGAGGAAACTCCTCCTCTCTTTCTGTGGCCATGTCCACACTAGGAAACTATTTCAAAATTACTAAATTGGACTTAACTCCTGATTTAACAAATTTGAAATAGCATGTCCTCGCCACAGGGAAGCCTTGAAATGAGTCCGAGGCTGGTTCTGTTAAAGTGGACGTGCTACCTTGACTTAGAGCACCAGGAAGCTCTGGGGAGTCATTAGTCTGAAGGACTCTGGGAAGTTGTTATTTCAAAATAGCGGCACCGGAGTGTCCGCCTGACTGTTATTTTGAAATAACTATTTTGGAATTAGCGTTATTCCCCGAGGAAAGCGGGAGCACAGATTTCAAGTTAAGTGGCCCATTATTGTGAAATAATAATGATTGTGAAACGGGCTTGGTAGTGTGGACACGCCACGTATAAACTCGACTAAAGGGGAGTTATTTTGAAATACAGCCCTGGCCCTAGGACTTGACGTGCTCTACGTACCACTCCTGGGGACAGTGCCCCACCTCCAGAAAGGATGTGGGTTACATGCATATTTGCGAACCGTGCTCGTTTTGTCTCCCCTTTGGGGATTCAGGGCCCGTTTCCACAAGGTAATTCTTTTAATCACTCCAGAGCAGATCAGGAGTCACTCCACTGTAAACAAGGGGAGAAGGAAGCCCTCAGTTCCTACAGATAAATTCTGAAGTTGTGTCTCCCAGGCTCTTCTCTGACACCGATTGCCCTTTGTCGATGTACTAGCCTAAGAACTGGGCAACCTAACTCCCTTGGAGAACGCCAAAGGAGGGAAAAAGCTCCACGTGGGGTAGCGCATGGATCACAAGGTGACCCTGACTTGGGAAGGAGTTGCTACTTTATAGGAGAGGGGCATGTTAGTAACACTTTTATTAGCATTTAAGAGACAATGGTAAACTTGATTAACTACTTGCCCATTCTTTGCAGGCCAAAGCACAGTTCTTTCTGGGCCCCGCCACTTGTCAGCAGTTAGTGGTCATTATGTCGTCGTTTTGCTGTAACAGTTAATAGAATAACGATTTATTTCTCGGGGCTGATGTTTTAATGCCTTTCTCTGTTATCCCTCCCTGACAGCCAGTGATTGCTGCAGCTGTTTTCTCTGGGGCACCAGGAGAATGACTGGTTAATAGAAGGATTAACCGGGCTTTCAGCCGCCCCCTTTCCCCCTTGACTCTCAGGTCCAGACTATACTGTTGAGCCTCACAGACAATTCGTTTTCACATCAGCGCAGGTGAAGGTCATGACAGGCCTTCGATTTTTTCCAGTCCCTTTGCTTTTTCAGCCTCAAGCTCACAATAGGCTCATCAGGTCAATTGAAACCTTTGAACCGTACTTCTATGGAATTTGCAGCTTAAGAATAACGGATCCTTATTGGCTGGGTTCTCGTGGTTTGTGACATTTACTCGCGTTAGCCCTAAATGTCTCCATTTGTGTTGGTGAATTTGTGTTGGTACGTGGCCGAGGCAGGGCTGTTCCTAGCTGCCCTTCCCATGGGACAGTTCTGGAGCAGAGACGCACACAGATCACTTCTCCCCCGGAACGTACTGGGCTGGATTGGGCGGCCTCAGTGGTACCGTTCTTGGACCCACAAGCTGGGCCGTCCCGGCAGTTCAGGGGAATGCCCACCTAAGGAGGGAAATTTGCTCCCCACTGGGTCTTTGACGGCTGCTATTTCTACACCTGATGGTGCTTTCATCTGGAATGGTCTCCCCTCTCCCCTCTGTGCATGAGGCCTGGCTCCATAGCAGCCTGATGGTCCCCGAAGGAGTGGGATGAGAAGCGAAGTACATGGCTGTCTAGGGCTTTTAAAAGCAGAGGTGGGATGACTTAGCTGGGGTTGGTCCTGCTTTCAGCAGGGGGTTGGACTCGATGACTCCTGAGGTCCCTGCCAGCCTTGGGATTCTGTGGTTGTAGCAGGAGTGGTCTTATCATCCAAGGCAGAGTATGGGTGGAGAATGGCATGTTGTGATCTCCAAAGGCCCTTGTCCGATGGACCATCTGTAGCTCGTGGACCACCTGCAGGGTCTTTCTCCAGTGAGGCATATTTGCAGTAGCCCAGACACACGCTGGCTCGATGCTGGATCCCGTGGAGAGGTGTGGGAGGGACTTTCCATAAGGTGATAATAGGCACAGAGCGCAGATTTCTCTCCCCGGCTCAGCTCCAAGGGGAGTTCTCCGTCAGAGGGAATCAATCCGACCCGAAGGTTCCACTTTTTGATGATCACAGAGGCAGGCAAACGGTGCCAGGCCTTGCGCAGGCGTAAGAAGGTGCAGCCCCGTTGGCAAACAGGCCCCAAGAACTCTCCGCTTTCTAGTAGGATCTCTCTTAAAAATGTTCCCCGGTGGCCTAGTGTGTGAGTGTGGAAGGGTTATGGTTAGTGATCCTCCCAGGCCTTGGGAGCCACCGGCCATTATGTCCCAGATTGCTGTGTTTCGCTCTCGGGATGTTTCTCTGCATGTTCACTTCGGCTGTACCTGGACGTGCTCTCCAGCTGTAACATGCATTAAGCTGCTAACAGCTGTTCCCCTCAGGCTTAAAATCTGCCCTGTGCTTTCCTCCTCCCCAGACTCTTTACTTCCACACATCTTTAAACCACCCCAGCATCGTCGCCGTGGTGGAAGTGGTGGCGGCAGCCAAGACGCGAGAGGGGACGCACCAGGATCTGACGTGCGGGTTTGGAATTCTGCACCTGTTCAACAGCAGGTCAGAGCCAACAGACATGGCCACGACAGACAGAGGGTAGGTGCTGCCGGCTGCCACAGGAACAAGGAGACGCTCCCCTGCTCCCAGACCTGCTTTCGCTTCCTTACATATCCCCCCACTAAGTGGTAGGCAGGACTACCTTTCCAGGTGGCTGCTTCCCTTTGCATGCCTCAGAAAAGGGCAACAGAAATAATGAGGGGTTTGGAACAGCTGCCATATGAGGAGAGATTCATACAACTGGGGCTTTTCAGCTTGGAAAAGAGAAGACTAAGGTCGATTGAAAGGTCAATAAAACCATGGCTGGTGGAGAAAGTAAATAAGGAAAAGTGATTTACTTGCTCCCATAACACAAGAACTAGGGGTCACCAAATTAAATGAATAGGTAGCAGGTTTAAAACAAACAAAAAGAAGTATTTCTTCAGTTAACCTGTGGAACTCATTGCCAGAGGATGTTGTGAAGACCAAGACTATAACAGGGTTCAAAAAAGAGCTAGATAAATTCACGGGGGACAGGTCCATCCATGGCTGTTAGTCAAGATAGGCAGGGAAGGTGTCTGTAGCTTCTGTTTGTCAGAGGCTGGGAATGGGCGACAGGGGAAGGATCACTTGATGATTCCCTGCTCTGTTCACTCCTGGGGCACCTGGCACTGGCCACTGTTGGAGGACAGGACACTGGGCAGGATGGACCTTTGGTTGGACTTATTCTCAGTGTTCTTATGTTCTTATGGTGACATTGTCAGGCTCCCTGTGACACCTGTTAGTCCCTCCCGGGGCGGGGGGGGGGGGGGGGGGGGGGTAAGAGCCAGGGTCTATCTATATCCTGGCATCTCAGTAAGCTGCTGTCCTCTCTTGCTGGCCAAGAGTCGATGTGATGGGGACAGGGGCTGGCTATGTCCTGAGCCACAGACCCACTGTGGGAAATTCGTTCTGGACTGTAATAATCTAAAATGCGCTTCCCTTTAACTCTAGGCTCAAGCTGTATCATGGGACTCCGCGAGCGCTCCTGCACCCGCTCCTGCAGGACCCGATCGAACGTAAGAACCTACAGAACTCCTTGCTGCCGGCGATGTGATGGGGACAGGGGCTGGCTATGTCCTGAGCCACAGACCCACTGTGGGAAATTCGTTCTGGACTGTAATAATCTAAAATGCGCTTCCCTTTAACTCTAGGCTCAAGCTGTATCATGGGACTCCGCGAGCGCTCCTGCACCCGCTCCTGCAGGACCCGATCGAACGTAAGAACCTACAGAACTCCTTGCTGCCGG